AAAAGCTTTTGCACAACAAAGGAAACTATAAGCAAGGTGAAAAGACAGCCCTCAGATTGGGAGAAAATAATAGCAAACGAAGCAACAGACAAAGGATTAATCTCAAAAATATACAAGCAACTCCTCCAGCTCAACTCCAAAAAAAAAAAAAAAAAGATGTGCTGTAAGTGTAATACACACACCACATTTTGAAGATTTAGAACCAAAAAAAAGAATATAACATATCTCATTAAGTGGTTTTTGGTTTTGATGTGGATCATTTTTAAAGTCTTTATTGAATTCGTTACAATATTGTTTATATATTGTTTTGGTCCAGAGTCATGTGGGGAGTCAGGTGGGATCTTAGAGGAAGCTAAAGAAACTCCCAGCGCCTGCATTGAAAGGCAAAATCTTAACCCCTGAACTACCAGGGAAGTCCCTCATTAAGTGTTTTATATTGATTAGATATTGAATTTGTAAAAATTTTGATAGATTTTATTAAATAACATATATTATAAAATAATTTCACTTTTTTTTACTTTTTTGTTTCTGAAGTTTTTAATGTAGCTACTAGAAAATGTTAAATTACATATATATCTTGCATAATATTTCTATTAAACAGCACTGGTTTAGAGTGCTGGTAAAGGAAGAAATTACTGATCAAAAAATAAATAAACAACCTCAACAACAATCTTTTATGGCAGTGACCAGGAACTGAAGGCCAGACACAAGGAAGTAAAAGGTGCTACCTTATACTTAAAAAAAAAAAATTCTCTTGGGAAGATAATAAAAGGAAACAAAAACAAAAGTACCTCCTCTGGGCCTGGAATCAGTGACAGAGTAGCAATAAGTACACCCAGCAGCATCTTGGTTTCTAATATCACTGTCCTTGGAGAAATGGCAGGAGCGGAGACTATTCAGGATGAGCTGCAACAGCTTGTAATACCAGAAACTAAGGTAGTGCCCAAAAAATACACAACAGGGACATATAAAAGGGATACAGGAGCCGACTGAAAGGACCACTCAATTACCAAAGCTGGAACAATCTGAGCAATAAAATGAATAACAGAGCGTTGGATTATAACCCAAAGGATAAAAAACCATGAGTCCACATTAATATAAATAAATGATTGAATAAATAAATATATGGGGGTGGGGAGCGATAGATTGGGAGTCTGGGACTGACATGTACACGCTGTTTTATTTAAAACAGATAACCATGGGAGTTACCTGGCGGTCCACTGATTAGAACTCCTCGCTTTCACTGCCTTGGCCCAAGTTCAATCCCTGGGTGGGGAACTAAGATTACACCAGCAGCGCAACGCAGCTTAAAAAAAAAAAATCAACAAGGTCTTACTGTCTAGCACAGGGAACTCTCCCCAGTACACTAGAATAACCTAAATGGGGAAAGAATTTGAAAAACAATGGTGCATGTATACATGTATAACCGAATCACTCTGCTGAACACCTGAAACTAACTCAACATTGTCAATCAACAACACTCTAATGTAAAATAAAAAATTTTAATAAATAAATGAGCCTCAAATTTTAAATATATGTATACATAAAATAAACAAACAGGGGAGGACAGACACATTTCCGATACAAAAGAATTCTGTCCCTCAAAGAGATGAAGCATAAAGTCCCTACCCTTCAAGTACAGGCTGCACATACTGAGAGAAAGGATGGAATGGGAGGGGAAAAAAGAGGAATTTGACACAAGGAAAAACCTGACAAACACCACCTCAAGCATGTGATGAAGTGTAACACCACCAGTGATAACCATTAATGATAAGCTATGCTGACAGCACATTCTCTTGAAATTATGTGATGACGATGGCACTTTACCTCTGTGGTCTTTCTTCAAAACCCGAAACTCCAGTTTAACTACAATAAAAGCATCCAACAAACCCAAATTGAAAGCCTTTCTACAAATTCTACCAGTACTCAACAAAACTTTCAAGATCAGCATAAACAAGGAAAATCTGAGAAACTGTCAGTCTAGAGGAGTCCCATGAGATACAATGATTAAATATAATGTGGCACTCTGGATGGAATCCTAGGACAGAACAAGAATATTAGGTAAAAGCTAAATAAATCTGAATATAAAGTATGAATTTCCATTAACAACAACCTAACAATGGCTAATTAGTTGTTATCAATGTATCATACCAACATAAGATATCAGCTATACTTCAAACAAGACAAATGGTATGCAAAACTCTCCGGATTAGCTCCACAACTTTTCTTTAAACTTAAAACTTTTAAAATAAAAGAGGTAGGTTTTTGTTGTTGTTGTTGTTGTTTTAAGGACCTCTTGTGGTTTGAAAACTTTCAAGTTTTTGTTGGAATCTTTCTGGTTCAAATCCTTTATAACCTTGCTATTCAAAGTGTAGCCAGCCACCTGTGAACTTTCTAACACTACAAAATTCTGACAGGCCAGAATCCACCTCAGAGAGTTTAAAATCTACATAATTTCAGAAACTAGGTCTGATTTGTACTAGTTTTAACGTGATAACCTTCCCAGCCGTTACCCATGCAGAGGTTAAGAATTCCTTCAGTAATTGCCACCCTCCCCTCTGGACAAAGATGACCCCTCTCATTTGTTACCACGTGGACCTCACCAAGCGCCTGACCTGGCTGATTCAACTTATGGCTTGTGAGTTTCTTCCCCGCTACAAGGTCATCTACTATGCCTTTATATCTAATCAATCTCCAGTTCCCAGGATTACTGCCGGTGGTCACACACCCCAAGGCAAGATAGTGCATTTTCCTAGCGCTTCTCCCTTAGAGTCAGCAAATGCCAGGAAAACCTGTTCGAATTAGACCTGTGGAGACGTAAGTCAGATGATTGCATAGGGTGAACCATAGGAAGCTGCTGATAACTGGGTATTTTGACTGCAAAGTAGGCAATTACACAGGAGTCAATGTTTATATTGCCTGTTTTCCACCTTAAAAGCTATCCTAGGGACAATATGCTGTCACGGGCAGAGAGTACTGGGGTTGCTAATATCCATGGCAATTTTCCCTTGTGGCTCAGCTGGTAAAGAACCCGCCTGCAGTGCGGGAGACCTGGGTTCGATCCCTGGGTTGGGAAGATCCCCTGGAGCAGGAAATGGCTACTTACTCCAGTATTCTGGCCTGGAGAATTCCATGGACTGGATAGTCCAAGGGGTCGCACAGAGTCGGACGCGACTGAGCGACTTTCACTTTCGTGGCTGCTGCTGCTAAGTCACTTCAGTCGTGTCCGACTCTGTGCGACCCCATAGACGGCAGCCCACCAGGCTCCGCCGTCCCAGGGATTCTCCAGGCAAGAACACTGGAGTGTGTTGCCATTTCTTTCTCCAACGCATGAATCACTTTCATGGCAAATTACTACTATAACTGAACGTCATCCACTCCACGTTCTCCCCTAAATGATGCACGATTTAAACCCCTGTCTTCCGCCTCAAAGTTCCCAGTCCCCGCTGCTCTCTGAGCTTTACCAGGGAGCGCAAGGGAGGGTAACACTAGTCTTTAGAACACAAGCGACCCAGCGGGCCTACAGCTGGCGGGCTTGACAACTCAGCATCCGCCGCCCCTCAGCAAGCCAGGCCTCCGGAACCCGGCCGTCCCCGCCCCACCGGACGCCAAGAGGCCCGGCCTCAAGATGGCGGTGGGGGCGGAGCCTGCGCGGCCGCCCCGGGGCGGAGCCTTTGACCGACGTGGCCGGGGGCGGGGTCAGACTGGGGGCGGTGCCAGCGGCCCAGCTCAGCCTGGCCGCCTCGGCCCGGGGGCGGGGGGCTTCGGCGGTCCTGCTGGAGCTCTCTTTTCCGCGAGACAGGTTTGCGCCGTCGCTCCCTGGAGACGTCATGAAGTCCCCGGTTTCGGACTTGGCCCCGAGCGACGGCGAGGAGGGCTCGGACCGCACACCGCTCCTGCAGCGCTCCCCGCAGGCGGAAACCGGTGAGTGGCGGCGCTATCCAGGGGGGCTTCGGGAGTGTGGCGGTCCCAAGGTGGAGGGGTCCAGAGCCGCTCAAGCCCGCGGAGGCTGAGATCGGGGAGCCCGATGAGGGCCCCCTTCAAGCCTCCGTCTTCTCGGATGCCCAGAAGCCCGCTGCCGGGCCCGGGAGGCGAGCGGCGCCGGGAGGCCGGGGCCGGGCGGAGGCTCCGGCGGGACCTCGGCAGGTGCAGCCCCGGTAGTCTCGGCAGGTGCAGCCCCGGGGGCCTCGGCAGGTGCAGCCCCGGGGGCCTCGGCAGGTGCAGCCGGCGGGCTCGGGCGAGGACCTGCTGGGCGCCGCGGGCGCAGGGCGCCGGGCGACCTTCCGTAGTATTGAGCTGGGGACCCTGTGGAAGAACGAACTGGGGGAGAGAACCTTGAAATGAATGGGCCGAGGGCGGAGCGGAGGACCCCGAGGAAAAAAGCTCCCTGGGGAAAGCTGCAATTGGAAGCTGGAGGGCGGGACGGAGACGCGGACTCTTCCTCCTTGTCACTGCCAGCTTGCCACAGCTGCTGGTCCTCCAGCATGTGATCTGGTAGCTAGCTCCTTGGGCGTGGAGACAAAAAAAAAAAAGGGACTGGGGTTAACTTTGTTGCGTATGCGGAGGGAAATTATTGGATAACTCAGCGAATATCTTGAAATTGTGCAGTAAAAGTTACGGCATACGATCCCCCCCCCCCACCCCCGCCCCGGTATAGTTAGTTGTCTACGATGAAGTCATAGCAGTCTAATAAGTTAGGAAACGGGTAGGCTATCCATAGATAGGCTATCCACAGAACGCTAAGGTAATTTGTCCAAACCTTGCAGCAAATAGAAAAGGATGTATAATACTTCACAACGCATCTTCCCTGAATTTGGGGAAATTAAAATATTTTGCTATCATGCTTCTTTAAAAGAAATCAAAACTAAAGAATAAACCGCTTTGCATGCATTCTGTAGTTTCAAAGATGTATGCTTGAGAAAGAGAGCTGAATTAGAAATTTAACTTTTCTTGACCAAGAGCAGTATAACCTTTTAAGTTTGTTTTTAACTATTACCAGATGGTGGCAGTAGGTAGCAATATTATAGCTCCATCTGGCAACTAGGTGTTTATTTTTGTGGACATTCAGGGTAAGCACTGTGCCATGGTGGCCTTTTATCTGGAAGTCGGACTTAGTTCCATAAACTGACCTTTTTTCATGACATATGAATTAGATTTCTATAATCCTCTTCTCTGAAATAATCTAGTGTGGAAACACAGAAATAAATGCCGTCATAAAGATATTCTCTAGAAACTACTATATTCTATTGCAGTTGGGAAATATATATATATATATATATATAATCAAATTTTAGCTCAGATGTTAAACAGAGTAGTTGTCAGGAAATGCAGATTAAAACCGCAATGAGCCATTACACGCTTACTAAAATAGCTAAAATTAAAATGGCCAAAGATACCAAATGGCAAACTTATGTTATAACTAGAACTCATATTTTGCTGGTAAGAGTGTAAAATGGTACAAGTACTTTGGAAAACTGGCAGTCTATTAATATTTTAAAGGTAAACATGCATGACCATAGTACCACATAATGTTTATAGCAGCTTTAATTCATAATATCCATAGTTAAAAACTGGAAACAACCTATCCATCAATCCATCAACAAATGACTGGATAAACAAATTGGGGTATATTCACACATACTCAGTGATAAAAAGTAACTACTGACACACGTGATGTGGCTAAATCCCAGGCACAAAGGAAACCACCATGTTAATGTAGCTTTCGGTCAGTATGAAGTTCTAAACAAGCAAAACTAATCTGTAATAACAGGAAGCAGATCATTGGTTGCATGGAAGCTACAGGCAGGAAGGAGTTGCCTGCAGAGACACTAGGGTACTTTTTGGGGTGATTGAAAAATTCTGCATCTTGACTAGGGATCACAGATATATACATCTGTCAAAATTCACCAAATTGTACACTTGAAATGGGAGCATTTTATTGTGTGTCAAATATACCTCAATAAAGTAGATTAAAAAAGAAAATTTTCATTCCTTTTGGGAAAATGGAATGAGATGGAAATGAAATTTGAAAACAGTCCCTCCTTGATTCATGGGTTGAGTGTTCTTGTATAGATCTTAGCCCTGTTCCTCATGCCTTGAGGTGGCTGTCTTTATTATAACCATTTCCCCTCTTATTTTTACTCTATACATTACCTACAGGAGAGGAAAAGAAGGTAAAAATAGCAGCAACACATTGTTATTTTTTGCTACTTAAAATGTAAGGGTTTTAGAAAAAAGTTACAAGGTTGTTGCATTAGTCAACAATATTTTAAATTAAGCTCTGTGCCTGGTATGCTATGACAAAGACAAGAGAGGAGCAATGGGAAAGACAAAGATGGGTATAACAGCTTTATAAGAGGCACCAGGGGTTACCTCCTTTTCTCGCTCCGTAGTGCCCCGGTCCTAGCTTCTGTGCATCTGATAGGAGAAACAACATGACTATTAGTTATATTTTTATTTAAATTATGTTCTGTATGTTTACTTCGCATATTTCAGACATTGTAGGTGTTTAAAAAAAAAAAACTTTCCATCCAAAATTAGCTTTTTAGTGGTGCCTGAAGGAGTAAATCTTCAGCTGACCTTAAAATCTCTCTTTCTGTATGTTTATATGTTTTGGCCTTCCCTGGTAGCTCAGTGGGTAAAGAATCTGCCTGCAATGCAGGAGACCCTGGTTTGATTCCTGGGTTGGGAAGATCCCTTAGAGAAAGGTTAGGCTACCCACTGCAGTATTCTTGGTCTTCTTTGGTAGCTCAGCTGGTAAAGACTCTACCTGCAATGCAGGAGACCCTGGTTCAATTCCTGGGTCAGGAAGATCCCCTGGAAAAGGGATAGGCTCCCCATTCCAGTATTCTTGGACTTCGCTGGTGGCTCAGATAGTAAAGAATCCACCCACAATGCGGGAGACCTGGGTTTGATCCCTGGGTTGAGAAGATTCCCTGGAGGAGGGCATGGCAACCCGCTCTGGTATTCTTGCCTGGAGAAACCCTGTGGACAGAGGAGCTTGGTGAGCTACAGTCCATGGGGTCACAAAGAGTCCAACACGACTGAGCATAGTATGTATGTTTTACTTGTCATTTATGTTTGTTTTGGAACAAGCCTATATGAAATTAGCAGTATCTTCTCTACACCAATGTGTATAGTTTTGTTTATCAGAAGAGATAACAAAAGCTGATAAAATGTTAGTTATAACGTTATACAGCAGTTAAAACACCTTAGAGGCTAAACTACCATCTGGTGGGCATCATTTTATATATAAACAACCAAGAGCCAAAGAGATTAAGTTCCCCAAGATTGCTGTATCTGTGTTAAAGTCTAACCAGAGTTCTAGATTTTAGTCCCATCCTCCTTCCTTGTCACAACACTGCCACATTTGTATAACATTTGAGAAATTCCTATTTGCAAAATGCTTAATCATTTTTGTTGACTTCACAAATTTGAAAGATCAGCACTCCATCATGGATAAGAGGACATGGTTTTGTTTTATAGGTAGTGCTTTTTTATTAAGAGAGCTAAAATTAAGGTATCTTTCTATAGTTTTAAAGAACCTCTCAGGTTGACAGAATATGACAGAATTCTCGGTAACCTGACTGGTTTGCCTTTCAAGCATTTTGTTTTTACATAGCCAGCTAGATTTCAGAGATGAACACCAAAGTAATGGGAGACATTGTGTTCCTGCAGATGTCACTGTTTCATTCTTTTCTCTGGCTGAGTGATATTCCATTGTATATGTGTATCACATCTTCTTTATCCATTCCTCTGTTGATGAATATTTAGGTTGCTTGAATGTCCTGGACACTGTATACAGTGTTGCAATGAACACTGAGGGTGCATGTATCTTTTTGAATTATGATTTTCTCCAGATAATATGCCCAGGAGTAGGAATGTTGGATCATATGGTAGCTCTATTTTTAGTTTTTTAAGGAATCTCCATACTGTTCTCCATAGTGACTGTATCAATTTACATTCCCACTAACAGTGTAAGAGGGTTCCATTTTCTCCACACCCTCTCCAGCATTTATTGTTTACAAAACTTTTGGATGATGGCCATTCTGACTGGTATGAGGTTTGTAGTTTTGATTTGCATTTCGCTAATAATTAGTGATGTTAAACATCTTCTCATGTGCTTTTTAGTCATCTGTATGTCTCCTTCAGAGAAATGTCTGCTTAGGTCTTCTGCTCATTTTTTATTTGTCTTTTGTTTTTCTGAGCTGCATGAGCTGTTCGTGTATTTTAAAGATTAATCCCTTATTGGTTGCTTCATTTCCAGATCTTTTCTCCCATTTTGAGGGTTGTCTTTTCATTTTGGTTATGATTTCCTTTGTCATGCAAAAGCGTTTAAGTTTAATTAGGTCCCGTTTGTTTATTTTTGGTTTTTATTTCCATTTACTCTAGGAAGTGTATCAAAAAAGATCTTGCTGAAATTTATGTCAAAGAATGTTCTGCCCATGTTTTCCTCTAAGAGTTGTATAGTGTCCAGTCTTACATTTAAGCCTTCAGTCCATTTTGAATTTACTTTTGTGTGTAGTGTTCAGGAGTGTAATAATTTCATTCTTCTGCATGTAGTTGTCCAGTTTTCCCAGCACCACTTATTGAAGAGACTGTCTTTCTCCACTGTGGATTCTTGCTTCCTTTGTCACAGAGTAGGTGAACGTAGGTGCCTGGGTTTATCTCTACTTTCTGTCCTGTTCTATTGGTCTGTATTTCTGTTTTTCTGCCAATCCCATACTGTCTTGAATACTGTAGCTTTGTATTCTAAAGTCAGGGAGCCTGATTCCTCTAATCAAAAGATTGTCACACTGAGTGAAGTAAGTCAGGTAGAGAAAGACAAATATCATATTATATCGCTTATATGTGGAATCTAAAAAAGGGGGATACAAAGGAACTTATATACAAAACAGAAATAGAGATATAGATGAGGAAAACAG